AGCTATTGCCGTTGAGAGTACTCATAAGTTGCTTTACATTGTAGTTAAAGAATTCATTCTGGAAATGCATTATTTCTTTGTGAACGAGGCAAAACATCAATTTGTTACCTGTTGCCCTTACTACATCAGACATTTTACTTTCTTAAAATTATATCACCTACCTCCTCTAAACCTTTCCTATCACGACCAGACTTTTGTAAAAACTTTATCATGTTTTTTGCACCATGAATTACTCTAGATTCAATTTCAATATGATGGCGAACATCTTCTATTCTTAATTCCAAAGGAGATAGTCCTAATCCTGGTTCAGCATTCTCTTTACCACCTGTGCCACCAGATACCACTCCATCCTCCTTTCCTAACAGTCCTTGCTGTTGCTCTCGCAGTAGCGCCATTCGAATAATTTCTATCTTTGTCCTTGAGTCTTCCAGCATTTGCTGAGCTTCTGCAATAAGTTTGGTATCTTTCTTCTTTGATCCACTAGCATTGTACATTGCTAACATGTTTTCAGCGCCTTGTTTCACTTTCATCTCCACAGCAATTTGCTTTTTTAATGAATCAATTTTGCCATTTACAGCTGGTTCATTTGACACACCATCTGTGTTGTCAGGAGAGAGGACTTCTTCATTGTCAGCTGTAAAAAAGGTCAGAGCAAAGAAACAGTCACATCCAGGGGCAATAAAATTGAATCTTGCAGAAATTTTAATGAACAACAGTAATTGCTGTAATCTTTGAAACCAATTCTTTTTTTATTTGGATCTCTTACACTCATTAAGTCTCTTATCATTCTCCTGTAAATAGTCAAATTTTATAAGTACCGTATGTTAATTAGTGTTGCTATTTTATTGGTGTCCCCATTCCCAATTAGTCCATCTGGGCTAAACACATTGACACTCAAATAAAAGTATGATTATCATTATTATTATTGGCAGTATATACACAACTGGATGCTGATCCTACTCACTCAGGCTAGGTGTTGACTGTGGCTAGCCTAAGTGTTATTTACATACTAAAATTACATGAAATTGCTAGTCTACTATTAAAGGAAAAAGTCACATTAGTTATTATTAATATAATTATTATTAAAGGTCACCAAGATGCCAATTTAATTATTTTCTGATTAAGAATGGCAACTTCCCTTAGTAAAAGATTTTTGCTGAGTAAGCTGCTTTCAAACAGGAAAAGGAAGCTGGTTTAGGTATAAACATGCCTTGCAAAACAGTGTTGTACTCAAGGCTGCATTTTTCCTGGAAAAAAAAGGCATGTACTACCTAACACTGGAGAAACAGAGAAAGAAACAGATTCTTGAACAACTATTGTTTCTGCCGAAGGAAAAATCTACCACTTGTGATAAGCATCACTAGAAGGAAACTGTCCAGTTTAGAGCTTTAAACACACAGTTTCTTAAAATGTTTTGATTACCATAATTACTTTAACGTATTTGTGCACGACCCTCGCAGTAAAGAGCACCATTTAAGCAATAGTGAAAATCAGATCTGAAAAAATTCAGGCCTGTACGGGATTCGAACCACTGACCTCTGCGACACTAGTGCAGCGCTCTACCAATTGAGCTAACAAGCCAACTGGGAGCAGGTCATCAAATTAGTCCGACATAAACCCATAAGATCATAAATCAAACACAATGAATGTATGAAATTCATATATCTGAAGTGCGGTTATAGAAATGTATTTGAGCACGATCCTCGCAGTAAAGAGCACTATTTTAGCAATAGTGAAAATCAGACCTGAAAAAATTCAGCCCTGTATGGGATTCGAATAATTACTTTTGTTTCCAATAGGTAAAGCTGGTGCTTAGGTCCAGTTTTCCAGAACATGCAACTGTTTGATTTTTGCAATTATCAGAGTAGCAACTCTTAAACCAATCATGAAAGGTAATTTTTGCTTCTACTTTTGAACATGAAGACAATAGTCATATAGTCTGGAGCATATTTCTCTTGTAGAGTTAATACATCAACAAACTGATTGAGCATAATCTGAAGAAGCTGCCTGCCCAAAGATTTTCACACCTACCAGTAAGTAATATAATTAGATGTATGCAAATCCAACTTGATAAAAATTCAACCAAAAAAGGTATCAATTTCATAGTCCTTAATAAAAAAAAAAAAAAATGGTATCACTCTAAACAAGAACTGGCTACTGTTATAAACAAATTATGGCTACTGAACTAAAGCCTAAATTTTTTTAAATTTCTTTTCTGCAGTTCTTTCATTGCAGCTTATCAGCAGGGATCATTTCTTGATTTGTATCCTATTCAAAGGTCAAAATACAAGGTATTTCATTTCATTTTGATATCATTGCCAGGTTTGAGAAGGTATACATGTACATGTACTTGCAAAGAATTGGAGGAAACAACATAAAAAATCAAAATTCCCTTAAGAGATTTTGTTAATAATCTATGGTTATTAAGTCAATGGGCCAAAGCAGATAAGCCCATGAAATAATGATTAGAAGAATTTTATTCAACTGATAAAACAGGTAATTTTTGTTAATTTGGTGCATTTAACATAATCTAAGGTTATCACATCAGACAATTCAAACATTTTGTTGAGACGAGTTGCTAGTATAACTTAGAGTTTCATTCTCACTTAAATGAAAGAGAGATCAAGGAGACCGAGGCGAGATCTTCCAAATACTTATCAGGAAATCAGAATCTCCAATCTAATTAACTGGGACTGTAACTAAAAACTCATGCATTTATATTGCATTTTGTCTAAAAATATACCAAACTCTAGGAGAAAAACTTAAAAAAACAAAACGATACAAGAAAGCAACCAATCAAAGATAGTTAGCCTTCCATTTCAAAATTGAATCTAAAATATCAAGGTACCCGCCGATAGGAGCGTCTTGATCTAAAAATCACAGTATGTCTGTCAACTTATGTTACCAAGTGACTGTTTGGCTCGTAATAAAGCTTGCGGAAACAGGTAATTCCTTTCAAGCACTCGAGATAAAATTCATCAAGGGTTTGAATAAGATATAAATGCAGCAGAAGGAAGGAAACCGCCAGACAGTTCCCGATTCGCACAGTAGGATAAAGAGTACGATAAGAAAAGCTCGTCACAAGAGGCAAAAAGCAAACAATGGATTTTCCTTCGTTCAAATGTAAACAATCCTTGGTTGTTGTCACAAACACAACCGAAAAAGGACCCAAATATTTAAAGCTCCTTGACAGTGGCGAAAGCAAAGAATCCAAGCGTCACAGTCTTATGGTTATCAAAGAACAACGCTCTTGAAACCCGTAACTTTTTCCAAGGGTTTACGGCGACGTGTACATAAAAAATTAACAATCCCGAAGGGTGACTATTTAAATACTTTCACAATGTTTAAATGTACGTTGTGATATGCACCATCCGGCACATTCCCGAGATGAAATTATACTACGTTACGTTGGATAAAGGTTACAATTAAGTTTTGAACTCCAAAGTTACGGCTAAGTAAGCTTTTCTGTAACTAATCAAAACCGAGGTTTGTTTCCGCAACGCATCAACATATTTCATTGTACACACTTTGCTCAAAAATTTCAATCATGCCTTGTGACGAAAATGCACTAATCAACATAGAGCGAGTTCCTTTCTCTGAAGTGCAACGTTTTCGCCCTGGAAAGTCGAATGGAACAAATTATGCTGTATTTTAAGCAACACGTATAATCTCGTACAAATGTATGACATTCCAACTGACAAGTGTAGGAGTATAAAATATAGTAATTACTTGAGCGCGTACTTCTCATAGGTTGTTCAGTCGCCACAAATATACCGAATATTAGAAGTAACTATCAGAAGTACCTCAAAATAAACGATTTTATTTGTGGTGCTTAAAATCAAGTCCCGCAACAATTCAAATTAAAAAAAAATAACACAACAAACTACGCTGAAGTTTACCCTTAGCTTACAATTGCAAAAGAATCGATTTCGCGAAGGATTCAAATGGTTGTAGCTTGTTAATAGGTCCAACTGACTGTCACGGAATGCCATGCATTCAGTAATATTGTATCTACTAACTACAACAACAACTTATTTACAAACCTGGCATGTCTTCAGAGACTCGAGCGTTCAGGTCTTGGAGATCATCGTGCAAGTCTTGAAGTTTGGCTGTAGTATCTTTTAAAATTGTATTGCATTGAGCGATAGTTTTCCTATCAGTGGCTACCTTTTTCAAATTCTCTGCACCCTCTTTCAACTTAAGCTGCTTGCGAATTTCAGCTTTAATTGCCTCTTTGGACTGTTCAAGATCCGTTTTCAGAAGCGTTTCGGAACCAGCCCTTTTCATACTGGCGTTATAGTCTTCTGGCTTACTAATTCGTCTTGCTCGACCTCCATCGTACTGCAAGATAAAGCATCAACCATTTGCATCACATGTAATACTTTGGAAAATTCTCCAAATGTTGATTACTGTTATGATTTTCATACCATTATGACTCCTCCCTGACTCATTCTATATCGATGAAGTCAAAGTAATGCCCGGAGATTTGCAACAGTCGTCAACAAAGTTGTGGAACTCAACCATGACCGCGACCGGCCATAGCTTTCGGCAAAGCTCAAAGTAAACAACTAAACAGGCACTTGGAAACTGAACAACGGCCTAGAAACGGTCACCACTGCAAGGAATGAGCTCTTATGCCTGCTATGTAGATACAGAGTTATAAAAAAAGCTATATGTTCAACAAAAATCGTTCAAAAGTAGAAAAGAATCGTTGAAAAAACTCGGATACCAGAGTCCGGATAACAACCAAAGTAGCTCTGCTCAGCTCGAACAGGCTCTTGGGTGGCTACTTTACACGTGACAAGACCACCTTTACAAAAATATTCTGCAATTTTCGCGGTATTACTCGATCAAGGAGGCTAAAGAATCAGACGATATCGTGGTGGTTTTTAAGCTAAGCTGAGAAATTTCCTATTCAGTAATTAGACTTACTGAGCACATTTGGAGCATATCGCCAGAAAATCGAAAGAAGCTTAAGGAAGCATTTGGTGGTAGACCGCTGTCCAAACGGACATAAAGCGCGCCAAAATTTAAGGAAACGGAGTGAAAAGTTGTCGTTTCTCTGAGCTGAATTCTTTGAGGCATTCACCTTCATCCGTTGAATAGCAGGAAAATTTCATCCATTAATTGGCATATTTTGTGGTGATTTAGTTCAAAATGTGTGGGAGAACGGCTTGGTACGTATGTAAATTTGTCACGACTAAAAATAGACGATTGTGGAAGTGGAGTTATTTCCGAACAAACAGGTGATTAAAGATTCTGTTTTCTTTTGTCTGCATTAATTTAGTACCCTTGCTCCTGATGAATTCCCGAAAGCATGCAAATTCAAAGGAAAGAATGGTCAGATCCAGGAACCGGCTTGGAGAGATGGCAGCATCGATAGAGGAAAATACTATCCTTCCCACAATATTAGTCCGCAATCCTTCACGTAAGTTCTTATGACACATTTAATTAGTTTGTCTTGTTTATGATTATTAGATGGGTATGGAAAAAGATACATTCTAAGAATGCAAGGAATTTCTGTTGTTGAATCGGCTTTGTTAAGCTCACGAAACGAGGAAGAAAGCGTCAAGGAAACAAAATAACTATAGATAAAGCCCATTGACTTTGCTACTTTTCGTCACGTCTGGTTTTTGAAGTACTGTGTCGGTGATCGGTAAAATTGATCAAACTTTCTGATCCTTGGAAGTCATGTAACTGATGCCATGACACATTCATAACTTGGCCAATGTCCCCATCCACCCACACACAAAGCATGGCCAGTACTGAAACATTTATCACCAAAGTCATCCACCAGTTTACAATTAAATTAAGCACAGCTGTGCTAAAATGACTGAAATAATTAAGTTAATTCTCTTGTAGTCTGACTGAGGGCTTTAAGTATAAGAGCTGGCAGCTGGTGAACATTTTTGGTCACTCTGTAGGACATCTGCTTCCTTCTTCAGTGAGCAATTAAAGTTGCTGAAAAAAAGATCAGCAATGTAGACTGTTAACTTGACTCAGATAATCTTATTGTTATAGTTCAAATCTACTGTTTGTCCAAAATTGAACAATAGCACCCTGGATAGGCTTATGCTTTATTTTTTTCTCTACAACTTGTTTTTTTGTAGTGCAAAGCAACCAAGAGGTAGATGGGAAGCAAGTCAAGATCTCTTGACACCCATAATTGTAAGATTAAGCCATATATTGGTAATCCTCAGTTAATTGCACATCTTTCTTGTTGATGACTGAATGACTGCATGGATACTTTTTATTTTTTTAGTCCAGTGTTACTGTCAAGTCAACATTTGAACAAATTAGCATCAGAGGAGCTTAGTGAAAGGCTTCTTCAACCAATGAAATGGGGATTAATTCCATCATGGCACCGTGGAGATCCCAAAGAGTTCACCTACAACATGAGCAATGCTCGTAGTGATACTCTGTTGGACAAAAGATCCTTCAAATCTCCCCTAGAGAAGGGTAATAGATGTGTAGTTTTGGCTGAAGGGTAAGTAACTGAACCAAAGTGCAGTTATAGTTACTCCTGACTATCTTTTAATTTTTTTTTCTAACCCTTAACAATGTAACAGTATGTGTGTTTGTTCTCCTTACTGGTCTCTAAACTTTTTCTAATGTATTGCCAAGGAAAATTAATTTTGTCTGGCAATCATGAGCTTCTTTAGTTTATTATTGCAGTAACTTACTTTATTCTTGCGACCTTAACCCTTTAACTCCTAGAAGTGATAAATATGTAAATTCTCCCTATAATGTCTATACATTATTCAACAAACAGGTAATGAGAATACTTGAACTTATCACGTAGAAGTTGTTCTCTTGATCTAACACAAATTCTTACAACTAATTAATTTACAAGGAAATGTACAGCAGCTAGAGGGGAGAATTAACAATCAGATCTTGGCATTTAAAGGGTTTTAATGTGTGATTTAGGGATGATCTAGGGAGAAGTTAGATGCTAATCCAGGGCGCAACAGTAACTTTTCAACTTACTAACCAAGTGGCTAGTGACATCTTAGATGCTACAACAATTTTAGTTTGTTTACCAGCCAAACTGGCTTGTGGAAATCGAAAACCACTAGTAGCCAAAACTGTATTTCTACTAGTCTGTGGCTAGATGGTAGCATTAGCGTCAAGCCCTGTAATCACTGCAAGGGGTTACGGATCATGTGTACTAACGGCACCAGTGGTCAAGTGTTGATCAATACCAGCGATCGACACTCGACTGACATATCAATTGAGTGTAGTTGTCACTCGACCGACCTGTCGATTGACACTCGGTCGACATGTCAGTCGACAGTCGGTCGATAGTCGGTGAATAGAATCTCACCTTTCATGGACACTCCATCGAGTGTCGATTGATACTAGTGGTTATCACTCGGTCGACAGATCGATCGCTACCTAATGGTGAGCTGTCGGCAGCATGTTGGTCGCCTGTCGATGAAATATCGATCGTCTTTCAATGAAATATCGGTCTTCTGTCGATGATATATCGGTGTAGTGAATAATCTCAGTCTCAGTAGTATCCCTCCTCAAACGGTGGCTATCTTGTCTAATAAGCCGTCAGCTAGTTAGTGCAAGGTTGAGTGAGCTTTTACTCAGATTTCCTGCAAGAGCAAAAGTTACTTTCAACAGGGTGGTACAGGGGTTATTCAAGACGCCTGATTCGAGGGGGGAAAAGTTCATGATTTGTGAGAAGTGTTCAATATTTTAGTTGTGATTTGTGAATTGATAGCCCCACCTGGGGCCCGTTTCTCATAACTCCCGAAACTTTAGGGGTCTAGTTCGGGTGCTGTAATTTCCTACGTATCTCAAAGATGAAGATGTTTCCAGGCATGAAATTTTGCAACAAGTCTGCCCTTTGGTGTCTTGAAATCATAGTCAAAGGCCAGATTTTTAGAATAAGCGGATCACAGTTTTTGAATTGGCTTTCTGGGCCAGGAAAGCTTACGGGACTTTCGGGAAAGATTCATGAACTTCTTGTTTTGCAGACTGTGATTCATGAATCATGAGTAAATTTTTGTGAATCATAAGTAAATTTTCGTGAAAACTGAGAATCTAATAGTAACTCATGATCAATAAACAGCTGTTTTTATATAAGTACTGAGATTTATTACCTAAATGAATGAAATGAAATAATCGTTTGGTTTTAAGTCACAGCCAATAAGCGACACGAACAATGAAATTTCAGAGTGAAAAACATGTGCCTGATTTGCAGCGTCTGATTGGACGGACGATGATTAGTGATCGTACCTCTGGGGAAACTACGTAATTCTCGGCGCGAAAACTAGCAAGCTGCGTTCAGTTTCAGTTTAAGCCGGAAAGATTTGTGGATGCCGTTTTGGTTGAACGAAACCAAAAATAGAATTAGAAAAGTTGAAGAAATTCCATTAGTGAAACTGAAGGGGTACATAAGTGTTTTTCATTTCAGCCATAACGAAAGACTATGATCTTTTTTTGCTCTAAGACTTAATATATATAAATATATATATATATATATCAATTGCGAAGTTTGGAGTGATGCTATATTCATAAAGAAGTTCAGTAATTGCTATAATGGCTTTATTCAGCCGGGCTGTCATTCAAGGTTGGAGGTTTTTCATTACATTAACACAGTTAACTGATTGGTGATCAAAGCTCGCATTAGAGGAATCTCGCTCAGCTATTGCCGAATTGTTTGGTCAATTAAGTCCTTCATATCTTATTTCCGTATTTTAATTACATGATCCCAACAAATGCTGGACTGGTTGCTGGAAACGTGTATCTAATCACTATCCAACTTTATCAGAACACAGGACAATTCAGAACTGCAAATTAGAACTTTTAAGACCGTTGTCACTGAAAACGGATGTCAGAAACAAATGTGATGTGAAAATGGACTGAAATGGTAAAACTCTCAAACAAAAATGATAAACGAGTGAGTCAAAACTTTTAATTAATAAACTGAGACCATACGATGGTGTTAATCTTGGGCAGAGTTTTAGAAACAATGGAAATGCTTAAGAACTGCATTTTGAGTCTCCAAATATACAGGGAATGGGAGCAGGACTGATAAAGGTGGGAGTGAGGAGATAAAGGATAAAGGTATGGGAAGCAGGAGAGCAGGATACGGGAAGCTGGAGGTTCTGGCCCCCTTTCCCCACCTCCCCTAAATCACTAAATACCTACTCACTTTACAGATTTTATATTCAACAATTACATTATGAGCTTGAGATTTCTATCGGGCAATAGCTGATAAGCACGCAGCCCAAATCAGCTATCATGCATAGAAAGCGAGAGCAAATAATCTGACTGTTTTAGTATAAACTAGTCGTTCAAAACTAAAACAAGTAAATTATCTGAATTTTTCCCGCAGACAATTTGAAAACGCGAAGANCATTTGAGATAGCTTATCAGCATTCTTTCTCCAGTCTCTAACCAGCTTCTCGTTCACATTATACTTCCTGGCGGCCGCACAGTTGTTCGTTTCTTCAGCAAATTTGATGACTAAAAGCTTGTACTTAGCGGAGTATTTCATTCGTTTAGGCATGTTGAGAATCGTTTGAAGAGATATAACTTATAATTGTTGCGAGTTGCTCGTAGTTCTGAAAATTGTTTATAAAGCCGCTCTATTGAATCTGACAACATTAGACCAGAAAGGTGTGATATCACACCTATTGAAAGCAATTGAATGGACTTGTGATATTTTAGCGTCAATAAGCAACGCGTAAACAATCAATTGAAGTTGATTTTTATACCCGGTGTATAAGTCGAGGTCGAATTTTTAGGGTGTAAATTTGGTCAAAAAAGGTCGACTTATACACGGGTAAATACGGTAATAAACTGAGACCATACGATGGTGTTAATCTTGGGCAGAGTTTTAGAAACAATGGAAATGCTTAAGAACTGCGTTTTGAGTCTCCAAATATACAGTGAATGGGAGCAGGACTGATAAAGGTGGGAGTGAGGAGATAAAGGATAAAGGTATGGGAAGCAGGAGAGCAGGATACGGGAAGCTGGAGGTTCTGGCCCCCTTTCCCCACCTCCCCTAAATCACTAAATACCTACTCACTTTACAGATTTTATATTCAACAATTACATTATGAGCTTGAGATTTCTATCGGGCAATAGCTGATAAGCACGCAGCCCAAATCAGCTATCATGCATAGAAAGCGAGAGCAAATAATCTGCCTGTTTTAGTATAAACTAGTCGTTCAAAACTAAAACAAGTAAATTATCTGAATTTTTCCCGCAGACAATTTGAAAACGAGAAGAAGCAATCTATCACCGAATAGCATGGCCAATCAGAGACTGGCATTCGTCAAAGAAACCTCGTAGATTTATACTAAATAAGGCTTAGAGTAGTTAGTGTTAAATGGCGTAAACATGCAGAGTTATAGAGTAGTACCGATGGGGTTCAGAAATTCTACTACATTTTGTCCAAAATAAGGAGCAGTACGCATGCAGAACCTTTGCAGTATATTAAAAAAGTGCGTGTTCTTTTAGCTTGTTGTCACTAATTTGCACCGTTATCAGTCATTGGTAGGATCAGTTCATCACACTTGACTTTTACATACCTCTTATTAACTGAGTTCCAGGTCTGTACTGTACGGCTGAGTTTTTCAGTCCCCTCTTTGATTTATTGCTGAAACACAAATCGTGCAAGGCCTTAAGGGGGAAAAAATGAGGATCTGTTACTTATAAAACGGACTGGCAAGACGAGATTTGTAAGGCTAAGAGATACAATAAGTAACTATTAAGATAAAAAGGTATAAAGTTTGAAAACTAGTAAAAGTCAGCTGAGCGTCGGTGGTATTGGCCGAGAGTCGACAGTCTATCGGCCCACTAGCTGTCGCGATAAGGATGCTGCCGGCAGACACATGAGTCGGTCGCCACTCGACCGACTATCGACCCTTGTCGATCGAGTGTCGACCATGTGTTGATTGACATATGGAGCGACTGTGAATCGACACTTGCCCGACATGTTGATCGAGTGTCGACCACACTTGTTCAATATGTCGGTCGAGTGTTGATCGACTGCGGGTGGCTTTAGTGCACATGATCCGGGGTTACAGGGTTAAATAAGTGTGTACAAGATGAATGACTGTATTTTATCCAGACCCCACTCCTGCCCCAAAGTTAATAAGGAGGTAATCAACACCTCTTAGACTAGTTATGCCTGATAAAAATCATGGTTTTACTGCCAAGCCCATGTACGCTGTCTATCAGGAGCTTAAGGACATACGGGGATCGGAAAGTAAAGAAACAGAATTGTTAGTGGTTAAAACACAGCTGTGACAGACTTCTTTCATGATGAATAATACTGTTCTGATAATTTCAGACTCAAATGAGAAAAGTATAACATAGAAATAATTTGAGACCGAGATATAGTGCCTTAAAATTAAATTTGTTTATTTATTTATTTATTTTTTATTATTCTTTTTTTTTTTTGTCAACAGATTTTTTGAGTGGGAGACATTGAAGGGAGGGAAGAAACAACCATACTACATCTACTTTAAAAAAGACACAAAGATAGAAGTGAAAAACGAAACAATTGCAGAGATTGAAGAAGAAAAGAATAATGAAAAGGAGACAGTGGTGAAAAATTTTCATGTGAAAAAGGAACCAGAGGGATCCATAACAGTTAAGGCAGAGGAAGAACCACAGTTTGGAGAGAAGCGTCTCTTAACCATGGCTGGCTTGTTTGATTGTTGGAAGCCACCAAAAGTATGTGATTCGGTGGCTATTTAGAAATTGATATTTTTAGTCACTGCTAGTTATTTTAAGTTCTATAACATTCTGAGCAGTCAGTGATGGTAGGGCTTGACACTAACGGTAGCCCACTAGCCGCAGACTAGTAGAAATTCAGTTTTGGCTAGTGGTTTTGGATTTCCACTAGCCAGTTTAGCTAGTTGACAAACTGAAATTGTCGTAACATTTAAGATGTAACTAGCCACTTGGCTAGCAAGTAAGTTGAAAGGTTAGTGTCGAGCCCTGGATGGGAAGGGAAAAATTCTTGTTTAACCTTTTACACCCTGTATACTCTTCTCTATACATTTCCTTTTGCTATTGTCAAGGAGAATCCATTTAATAACAATCAAAGCTTCATGGGTTAGTGATAATTTTCCTTATTCTCATGATCTTAATGAATGATTCAGCTGTATTCCTCTTAGGAGAAATTAGATGCTGGTCAATGTTAGACTTAAAGGATTTACTAGCCTGAAGCTTTAACTGAGATAGAATGAGATGTGTTTTTACAAGGGGAAATTGAAAGTAGAAATGTGAGAATTATTTTATTTATTTTAATTATGTTAGGGCAGTGGCAGTGAAAAGGAAGAACTCTTTTCATATACTATCATCACAGTGGACTCATCTCCGTCTCTGAGATGGCTTCACAACAGAATGCCAGTAAGTAATTTCTTATATAATTAATATAAACCATTAATTTCAAACTTAAGCAAATTTATCCAAGTTTTGAAATCTGGAAAATATGTTTTATATACAACTTAAAGAAAGTCAGAATCTTTTTAGCTTGCTTTATTCGTCAAAATTAGTGGTACTTAGATTTCCGAAGACAGCCAGTGGTCTTGCAGTTGGGTGTAGGCTCTCTGAATCTGCCACTAACCGCATTTTAGTCCTCAATATCAGCTTGTCAAATAACCATCTCTTCAGGTTGGAATTTTCTAAAACAGTCATTACATATATCTTATTAACCAAGTGCGAGGGCCGTACTGGGAGAATATCGGCCCGAGGTCTTGACAGTACGGACCGAGCGCAGTGAGGTCCGTACAAAAAAGACCGAGGGCCAATATTCTTCCAGTATGGTCCCGAGCAAGCTTGGTTAATAAGAGATTTATTATATGACTGAAGTTCAAAGGGACACAAGTGCGGTATCATTTGGGACCATTCGGGACAGTGCCCGGTCCAATACTGAGAGAATATTGACCGGCAATAGTGCATTTTGATTGGTTGATTTTAGTTATTGGCCCTCTGACTGCCCGAGTGGTGTAATAATATGACTTAAAGTCTGACCCTTGGCTACAATGTTGTATCATTGCAGTGTAACACATGCATGTTTATGTTATAGTATGGAGATGTTCTGTATTGATTGTCCGTTTGTTGTGAGCCCGCGTAGTATGCAGCGGTAATGTTACCATGTGCTCTTATCAATATAATCTTGCAGTTGACCTGCCATCTTGTGTGTGTGTGTGTGTGTGTACTCTTCTGCAACCCAAAAATATAACAGTTCACAGTTACATTAAAGAGGTGAGGCCTGTGTCCCTTGACAAACGAGGGCAATCTGATTCAGTGTATCTTGAAGGCTTTTAACCTAGAATGAAATTCATAGACCCCATCAAGGTGGCAGTTGAAGATAATTTTTTTGAGATGTCGCAAGTAATGAAGTAGCATTCTTTCTAACAAATCTTGACTTTTTTGTGCAACTGGTCTCTTGAAGGCTATTCTGGAGGGAGAAGAGGAGATTAGCCATTGGCTTGACTTTGGAGAGGTTCCGTGGCAAAAGGTAACTCACAGGTGACAAATACGCACAGTTTAAAGCTAATATTAACAATGTGAGATGCACTCTTAAAAGTAGTAAGTCTGTCTGCTTAATGTACAGACCTACATCAAGCTAATACTATGTACATTTTAAATTATGTTTAACTTAGGCTCTAAACCTTGTGAAACCCAAAGACTGTTTGGAGTGGCATCCAGTCTCTACAGTTGTGAATAATTCTAGGAATAAATCACCAGACTGCATCAAGCCAATTGACTTGTAAGTAACACCACTACATATTATGTGAGGTATTTCTTTTACATAAATTTTACCAGGAAGTGTTATTTATTTCTTCACTTTTCAATCCTCAACAAAACTGGGACACATGTGAAAGTGAACACACTTGATAAACCTTGTAGTCAATGTACAGTACCCCTCCTCTTTCTCTTCAGCAATGATAAGAATCCTGGAGAAATTCAGAAAAGCATCACTTGTTTTCAAAATTGTTTGGGGGAGGGGGAGGGGGAAGAGGGGGAGAGGGGGAGGGGGAAGAGGAGATTTTTACAACAAATGATGCTTACATTCCATGCAAGCTTTTGGGAATAATAACAATAGCCTCCCAGCTGCAATTGACCAATTTTGCAGCAGAGTTTTCAATAACTTTTTTTTATAAGCAACTGTTGATGGTGTAATGGTAGTGAAGGGGAGGGGGAGGTGGGGGTGGGGGAAAAGTAAAAACCCAAACATGAGAGCCAGCATGCAAGCTAAACCAGTGGCAGTCAGTCAGTCTTCTAGGTTGTGGTAAACCCCTGGCCACTGGCTTTTGATGAAATGCCTGTTGCAGCTGTTTTCAAACATAATCATGGTATCTCAGTCTGTTTTCTTTTTTAGGACACAAAAATTGGAAAAGCCCATGAAAGGAACTTTATTTTCATACTTCAAAAAATCACCTGTGAAACAGGAGAAGGTATTACATGAGGGCGAGGCTGCACAAGAACCATCTCAAAAGAAAACAAAATTTTAGCTGCGATAATTTAGTGGAATTGCAGTTGTGATCTTATCCATGTGATAAAACATATCTCTTGTCAAGTTTTTTTTCTAGTACAACAAAGTGACTTACTTGTAGAGCTGTTGATGAAAGCCTGATACAGTGAAAATCAGTTTATTTTTTTCCTTTTTTTTTTCATTTATGTTGATAGTATAGATACAGAACATTTCTTTTTTTCATTTATGTTGATAGATAGATACAGAACATTTATCAGGCAAGGTGTGCGTTAATTTTACAACAGTTTTTATTTGTAGACAACAGTTGTAAGAGGAAAAATAATTGTTTTTCAGTTAACAATGTTTAGTAGCAGCAGACTTTGAACAACTCCGTACTTATTGAGAGTATCAGCTAAGAATAGAAAGATTCAAATAAATTAATGTTCACTATTTTCAGTCTGTGCTAATGAAATTAACATTCCATAACTGCTGTGTAACAAAAAGTCAGAGGCTTTTGTTTTCAGGCTGCTTTTTTTAGTCCTCACAGGCACAAAACTTTGAATAATCACAAAACTATAATCCTTGGAAAACTTTTAGGAGATTTTTGAGAGAGAGAGAAAAAAATTGCTTTCCACTCTTTTGGGCCAAGTGATCTTTAGAATCATAACTTATTACAATACTTTAAAAAATGTGTCGTCCACTCCTTTTAAGGTTGAAATGTGATGAAAATTGTTGTCTTGCTCTTTAGCTTTTAGCAGGTTCATATATTCCATGGCCGAAAACTCCCTGCCGTGAGGTGCTGTCTGTGGCATGGTGTTTGAAAGCAGAATCTTTAGCTTGATCTGATCTAAAGGTGCTGAGGTAAGCTGGGATCTGCAGAGAAAATAATACTTTGTTATTGACTCAGTGTAAGATATAGAAGCATAATGGTTCATGTGACGGAAACCAGAATAAGCTGAAGCTGGATGTAGCTACTTGGCTGGAGTACAGACTTACTTTCAACCTTTTTTACTGACTTGAGAGACAAGTGCTACGTAAAATATTAACTGACTTATCCAAAAAGGTTTGTCAGTCGTGAGAACTACATTTTCCTTGCAGACTGACCTTTTCCCTGGCTTAATTTGCCATTTTGTTCATTGTTGATTGTTTTCATCCCTAAACACTCTTGATGATAAACTTAAAAATTCTGTAAGTTTCAGCAAACTGTATGAAGCCTCAAAAAATTTCAGTGTTTGCACTTTTTTTAGTTTGATATTACTTTTTTTCCTTTTTTTTTTATTTTTTTTTTGCTGTATGGTAACCTAAATGAATGTAATAATATTTTCACTCGTTCAAGTAAAATTTTTCAGTCAGTTGAAGCAACAATAAAAACAAAATGATTGAGGAAAGGCAATTTGTACTGTACTGTACATGTATATACTAGTGATACTGTTTTAAACTACATGCAAACTTAAACAATTACCTTTTCAAACTTCTTCATGTGCCATGGTGGAGATGGATCCACTGGGGGTTGGTATTTTCTGAGCAGTACAGTCCTTGTCTCATAGATGGTTTTATCAACATGTTTCTGGAGAGTGCAAAAATTATATATAATATTTTTATATATATTCAACTTGATGGCATAAATTTATGCTAGTATTAATTTTAAATATGCTTTCAACTATATGTCTTAGATTAGGTATTTGAAGTCTATTTAATGCCTTAAGATACAATTAAAGATGAAATAAACAATTTTAAAAAATTGAGCATCCGACTAGATCACGGAGGGTCGTGGGTTCATATCCCATCTGGAAACTTGATAAGATACAATTATCAAATTAAATGTGGTATTTAAATGTCTGCAATACCTTCTGTTCTTGTCTTGCTCTGGCTGCTCCCTCAGCTTTACGTCTTTCTTCTATCCAGCGGTCTTGATATTTATGTCCCAGAAGATCATAAACTGGAGTGGAAGGCCTATACATAAAGACCATGCTAATTATTTTAATAAATGAAAACTGAGAGATTCTTTTAATGTGAGGTGGTCATTTATTGTATGAGCTTTTTGATTTATTATTTTGACAAACAACCAACATAACCTTGTTTAATGTACCATTTCTATAATTTTAGATTTATATTTTTGGATTATAAGGTTTGGTTGAATGACAGAAAAAAGTGACTAGAGTAACACAAATTTTTATAGCTTTCCCTTTAAAAAGAAAAAAAAAGAAAAAGCATCCAAAGTTTATTAGCAGTTAAGTAACATTTCTTTAGATTTTTACATAACGCCTGATTTTGATAACGTACTTTGTTGGGACACCAAAAACCATTGTAGGTGGGATTCTTTTAACTTTCGATAATGTCTTTTCATTGCCAAAGTCTTTTCTTCTCATGTCATGTGTGGCTCGATACTGAAAATGTTCCTGAGCTGTTGTGAGGCCAGTTTGAACTGCTCCTTTATTTAATCCAATAAAATCTCTTTGAGCCTTTTTTGCCTTAAGATAAAGGGGAGCTAGAGGGGCTGATCTCCATACAAGTGCTAAAAGAGAAAAAGTATATCTATCAAGTGTTAATAGAGACTTGACTTTCATAAAAAACAAAACTTTGAAAAGAACTTCTAATAAAAACAAAACCTTTGAGTATAAGACACAAGCTGGTTTTTAAAGTGAGAATATGGCCAATTTTAAGCTCTATAGAGAAACAAAAAAGATGTTATTTTGAAGTTACAAGAGTGGGACAGAGAAAAGATTTGAGTCCCCATGAGGAATGGAACCTTTGACCCTTAGATTTCACCCTATGATGCTCTATGAGTGGGCTACATTGGACCCTGTGGTAATAAGACAGTATATACACTGCCACAATCATATCAGCAGTACCAAAAGCATCATGTGAGTAAATAAAATAAGATAGATGATAAAATTTGAGCTCAGTAATGGAATGTGATTTTACTTACCATCAGCCGCACCACTATCCTTTCCTTCATTTGGCTTTCCGTAAGTAAACCCATCAGGAGGTAGGGTGAAGCAACGCCGTAGTGGCCTTCCAAGTTCAGACTAGAGAGTATTATATTGCTTAAGTAATAATACTGAAGAAAAATTGTGATTTAAGAAAACTGGAAAAAGCTTTTTGTTGGGTGTACTGATAAAATTGAAACCCTTGTAACACCACTCCACCATTAGACGAAAAAAGCCCTGGTTTTCTCATGATAATGCAGATTTATCTAGCATGAGGATAGAATGCTTAAATGGAAATCTGGAAACCTAGAAATCAGGCACAATAAATAAGGGAAGAAAAAAAAAGACAGTGAAATTTGTCAAAAAATCTCTGCATTGCACAAAGTTTATGCTTGAGCCCCCTTTTTGCTAAACTGCAGAATACCTGGCCACCTATTTACATGTCATTAATTTAGAATAGCGTTTCTCGACACGGACCAAAGTGGCTGGGTATTCTAGAGTTGCTCCCCTCTTTCCATATGATTGTTGAGATTGCCCCAGATGCCTTGAAAACAGGGAAGATTAGGAAGATCCAGGCGATCATATGGAAATAAAACCTATGTGTCTAGGAAATACAACGCATTCTTCATTGCAGGAAATTCCCAAGAAACCACACAGCACAGGTCCCGATCTGAATTGCTCCCACCCTCCTCCTACTCCCTCTGTGAAACAATCTACAAGCAAGTAAATACAGAGCGTGCCTGAGTTATAAACTTCGAGACATTTTGTTTGCGTGTTGTCCATTCAAAGCCTGCTCTAACTTTTCAACCATTTATCACTTGAACGCTTCCGTACACCACCCCTTTAGTGACCCCTGGTGATACATGGCGATTGTGGGAAACACAACAATATTGTGTATCGTGATTGTTACCTTTTGTAGAAGAGGATTGTTTATCAGAGATTCGCGCTGAACGCCCAGCGTCACATACTCCTTGCTCATCTTGACCTGTTCGTTAAGCCCTAAAACTATCTAGATTATGGGATGCGAAATAAATAATCAGCGGAGCGTAATTTCATACGATTTCGAAAATTGAAACCTATCGTTTGCTGAATGGAGGGGTGACAATGTTTACTCAGGTCACCTCACGACCTCGCATAACATTTTTGGAATTAAATTCTAAATTTACTCGCTCAACTTCGGAAATATTTTAAAGACTGAAAAAATGTTGAATATAGGTCTCTTTGTAAACTGCATGCCAGGTTAAAGTGAAGTTTAAAAGAATAGTTGTTTACACAGCAAAATGATTGTTCGACGGGAAACAGGACATATGATCTCCACAAGATTAGTCCTTGGTTTTCGCGTTTTTATCTGCCAGATAACATACAACTAAGCCTGAAGAAACTGATTCTCAAATATAGAGAGACAGCCCAGAAATCTGAAGATTTCTTCCTGAGTTCCGTAACTCCGATTGTAACAAACGCTGCTTGTAAACCCGGTCGCGCGGAAATACGCGAAGTAAAAGTTCGACCCATTTTCGTCGAAATCATAACGGCTTTTAGAAATGTCTTTCTTCATTACTTTCAAGAAAACAATGTCTTACCTTCTGAACAGAGTATATGCTATTTACAAGGAAAAATTTCCTGAAATTATTCACGCTCTTCGACAACCTTCCATTTACCGATCCTCTGTTGACACACAAGTTATGAATATTTCCGCGTGGTTGCTATGGACGCCAAATCGGTGCTGCTGGTGCGAGGAACTGTAGGCTCGTCTTGTTTATCGTAGCAACTGACGAGGGAAAATTCAAGATGGATGCAACGAAGAAACCATTGTTGATTCCACCTGAATTCTCAAATTATGCGGAAAAACATAATATTTTTCAGATTTATGAGGTGAGATATTGGTAGGAGGTCGTGACTGTGTCGAAGATTTGTACTCTATTGTCATTCTTATAGGCAAATAATGCCTCAGATTTGAGCTAAAAAACATCTGGATCGGTATTCTGAGACGAATTTCAGTTATATCTAGTTGCTGAAATTCCCAAGTAACTGGGATCTCATTGAACAAAGCAGTAGATAATCTGTTGCCAATATCAGAGGCTGAATTCTCGATAAGCCACTAGCTGTTTGTTCCAAATAAAACTGCTCAAAGTATTATGCCCAAGATTTTCAATAGGCATAATTAATATAAAACATGATTCTGTATATTCACCAACATTTACGTTTTGACTTCTCTTTACCATTCACAATGACATTTTTAACGTTGAGACAGTGGGAAATTTTAAAAATGAAACTTAAATTATTTTGGTCAATGTGTTAACCTGTCTGAACAGTTTTCATATTGCACTCAAGATCAAGTCTCCTATCCTTGGTAGCTGTTAGTTGGGCTGGTCTGCATAGACCACTTTCATAAATAGCTGCCCTATAAATATTCTTTTGTTTAAATTTAAATTAGCCCTTCTGGCCTGGCTTGAGATAATGTATTCTTTTGAATTTTGTACTGGAGAACGAGGTCAGTAGGGCTAATTTAAATTTAATGAAAAGAATACTAATCCGGCAGCCATTTATGAAAGTGGTCTATGTGGCATGCTTTTCTACAGTAGGTGTGTCATGAGGCAAACCCAAACATCAATGGAAATTACAAATGAGACTAAATTACCTCTGTCTCTTTCTTTGAGAACAGATACAGTACATCAGGTTGTGTTAAGGTTTGCTGAGTCCTTGGTGCATTTGTAAGATAATTACTCTGACCTGCAACTTTGCAGCTACATTGTCAAACATAAATTTCAGAGTTTCTGCTTACTGGGCCATACAATGTAATTACTTTTAAGTCACAGAACATCTCTGAGCTTATAAAGCTAGTCCAGCTTCACAGACCATCTCTGAGTTTGTGAAGCTAGCCCAGCTCCACAGAACATCTCTGAGCTTGTGAAGCTAGCCCAGCTTCACAGAACTTCTCTGAGCTTGTGAAGCTAGCCCAGCTGATAGCTTAATTAGCTCTTCTATAAAAAATCTTAACCCTTTAACTCCCAGGAGTGACAAGGCTGGACTCTAGCGGTAAGCCAACTAACCACAGACTAGTAGAAAATTCAGTTTTGACTAGTGGTTTTCAATTTCCACCAGCACGTTTGGATAGTAAATAAACTGAAATTTTTGGTAACATCTAACTTGTCACCAGCTACTTGGTTAGTATGTTGAAAGGTTAGTATTAAGCCCTGAGTGACCTAGACAGTATATCTTATTACAATATCAATACAACATCAAGCAGACAAGGGATGGGAAGGGAAGAAAGAGAAAGATACTTACTGATAAAAGGGGAATATTAAGTTGATCCAATACCAAATTCTCCAAACCAATTTCATAAGAGTTATGTGGCAGATAGAAAGGAGAATTACTAAATAAATGAGATCTTGGAAGTGAAAGGGTTAAGTACACATTTAATATATTTTCCATCAGGTTAGGCAATAAGGAAAAAAATATGAATTAGAAATACATCGAAAGTTATTTTGTTTTGTATCCATAGTCCCTACTGACAAAACTGATAATAGAGCAGCCTGCAGACCCACTGACTTATATGATAGGTCTTCTCGAACAAGAGAGTGAAGGTTAGAACTTGCCCTGTGCAGAGGCGGATCCAGGAATTTTTGATTTGGGGGGTCCAAACTTTGGTTCAGAAAGGACTGTTGGACTCTTTTGAGGCAAATTACTTCTCCCTCACACCCCCCACACCCCCTCCCACCAGTGGCGGTTGCACGATATAATTCCTTGGCCGCTCACCGTTTACTTGGATTCGTCAAAAAATTCAGTCAGATAAAAAGTGATATACGATCCTGTCTAAAATTTGTAGGCGTCAGGTCTGATAGGGGGGTCCAGACCCCCCGAACCCTCCCCCTGGATCTGCCACTGCTGTAGTTTAAAGAACAGTAGAACTATTTTAGTTCAAACTGTGTTGTCCCTATTAATGTTCTTTCAATTTAAAGCTCACTACCAAAACAACTTGCCTTTAAAATGTAAGTAGGATTTGAAACCCAATAATTGTATTCCTAAGATTCCCAATGAATTTTCATGGAGTGGGAAAAAGGATGAAACAGCATATTAAGTGAAAATGAAATACATGTAGCTGTTTCTGCATAATGTTAGTTTAATTATTAATTTTATCATACCACTTTTGCACTCAAGATTATGGTTTCATGATTTTAGCTCCACGGATTCAGGATTATTGTTTCATGATTATAGCTCCACAGATCATTATTCAGGATTATTGTTTCATGATTATAGTTCCACAGATCATTATTCATGGACCTCCAGCAGCAGGAAAGAGAACAATGGTTAGTCTCTACTCATACAAAGTAGAAACTATAGGCTTAGGGTACCCTATAGGTGTATAAAATAGAGTCAGTTTACAGTCACAGAAAAGAAAAGGATTGGGAAATGATGATGTCCCATGGAGTGAGTCACAGAAAAAAAATGAATTTTGATTAATCTAAGATAAGGGAAATTTTAATCAAATGCCAAAAGTAACACAGAATTGCATTGGCTTAGCTTTTTTGGCTCTGTGGTTGGTCTTGAACACTTGCATTCATCTTTGAACCTTTATTGTTAACTCTCCTCTTTATAGCTGCTACACATTTCATTGTAAATTAGTTACAAGAATTTGGAGTTAGATCAAGATAACACCTTCCACAGTGACCTGACAAGTTTGATTATTCTCGCTACCTTTTTTGCTAGATTCCGTATTCATGAATAGTACAGGGAGAAGTTACTTGTTAATCACCTAGATGGGATTTCAAGGGTTATAAACAAACAGACACAAAACTTAAAAAAATTTAGACTCGTTCAAACACCTTTGTCCACTTTTGAAATACATGTAAATTGCATTAGATAACTTTGAGATCTCACTGGCACCTTGTAAAATTTTCTTACATTGTACCTTTGTTGTGATTTGTTTTTGTGATCACTTTTAACTTTATTTTTTTTTTAGTTATATGTAGTTGATTGATTTCTGAGCTTTTTTCCTGTTTAGTCTGTGATGGCAGCCGAACATTTCGACTGTGTTCATATCACACTAGAGAACCTCTTGGCAGTATCAGATTCAAAATCATCAAAGAAGGTATTTGAATCATACCCTATTTTGCATCCAACCAGCTTACAGCTTTACTTTGATTTTACATGAAATTTTAGGTCAGTTTACCGAGACATATAACTTTTGTTAAGGGATGTTACCATAGCTCACAGCAATAAAGATCTGGCTCTTGCTGCCAGAAATTACAAATTGGTTGCACAAGGCAATTACTCCAGTTCAAGGGTGTAACAGGCTCATTAACCCTACATTTGTATTTTAACTACTTAATCTGACTGTTTCAAAAGACTCTAAAATCTTACAGTTTCTGAACTCATCATTTTCTTCATTCTTGAAGGGATTATTTGTCTTGTGGAAATTAAAATAACAAGTTATTTTAGGTCCTGAAATCATCATGTAGAACAAATGATTTATTCTGAACAGTGTTAAATGACTAAAACTTTATTAAAAGTTTGAAATATTTTAGTCCTAACAAGGTAGATTTTGTAAATGACTAATATTGATTTGTCTCTTTTATTTTAAGGCTCAGGAGTACATATCAGCAAAAGAGGTATTGTTGGTGATACTTTACAATTAATTTAAATGTTACCTTCACTCTTTTACTTTAGGAGATTTAGGAGATCTATGAGCTCAGATTAGTTATGGATAACTTAACTGTCACATGTAGTGGCCTTAAATGTTCAGTGCAATGGGCTCCAGGGAGAGAGATCTGGGGTTGAAACCTGGTTAGGTCAATGTGTCGTGTTCCTGGGCAAGACACTTTACTCTCACAGTGCCTCTCTCCCCCCCAGGAGTTTAATGGGTACCGGGTAACTGTTATGAAATTCAGTAATGTGGGGGGGGTGGGGGTAACCTTGCAATGAACTAACATCCCGTCCAGGGGGGAGTAGTAATACTCCCAGTTGCTTCATGCTAAAGAAACAGGGATAAGTTCCATCTGAGTGGGCCACTTGGTTTGAGTACAGTCTTTTTCTGTCACACAACAAAGTGATTTAGATAGATAGATGGATCACTATATTTATACACAGTAAATTCCACTCAGTCGTATACAAGCAATATACCTACAAATGTAAAACTTAAAACTATATAATCATTATAAAATATATACAAAGATTAATTTAAGCCTAATCTATTAAATGAACTGAACTAACCTCTTATTAGAATGAAAATAAATGAAAATAAAAGTACTGCTTTTCAGGGATGCTGTGTCATTAGTTCACTCAAAACTGAAGTTACTTAGCTTCGTCTTAAACTCACCTAATGTGTTAGATACTCTAATATCAGTCAGAAGGCTATGCCACAATGCAGCACCGCTATAAGAGAAACTTTTACGAACATAATTGGTACGAGTTTGCGGAAGAGCCAGCCTCATTTCACTATTTTACAATAGATCTGTAACTAGTAGTATCATTACGAAAGATGAATTTATTTGATAAATAATCAGGTGTCTGTCCATTTAGAATTTTGAACATCATAATAGCTTTGGCAAAAAGCCTCTGATTCCTTAGGTTTTTCCAATGAAGTCTATGGAACAGGTCTCGAGCGCTAGAATCATAAGGGGCGGACAACAATATACGAGCCGCACGGTTCTGCAGCTTCTGAAGTTTTTCGGCCAGACTTGTACTACAGCAAACCCATACTAAGCTACAGCAGTCAAACTGGGGCTTTACCAAACCATTGAAGATGTTCAAAAGAGTACAGAATGGTACAAAATCTCTAATGTGCTTAATTAAGCCCAAAGCTGATCAGAAGAAATTTTCTTACAAACAGTTTCAATATGGGTATTCCAGCTTAAGTTTTCATCAATAGATACACCAAGAGACTTTGTTGACAACACCTGCTCAATGGGAAAATTATTAATGGTAAGAGACGGATTGTCTGACAAGTAAGCTCGCCTTTGCCTTGAAGTTATTATTAAGAATTCGGTCTAAGTCAGGTTCAATGTGAGTTTATTAGAAGACAACCAGGTATTAACAGATTTCAAATCTTTGTTAAGATAATCATCAATTTCATTTAAATCTTTGCCAGCGTAAGTAATGCTGGTATTGTCAGCATACATTCAATGATGAGAAAAATTAAGGCACCGAGGTAAATCGTTAGTATAGAGTGAGAATAAAAGCGGGCCCAGAATCGTGCCTTGAGGCACACTGCAATTAAGGAACTTTGGCGTCGATTTAGAACAATCGAGTTGGCAGATCTGTGTGCGGTCAACTAAATAGGAGTGAAACAAACGCAAAGCTAGTCCACAAATTCCGTATGAACAAAGCTTAGATAAAAGAATCTCATGATTGACTGTATCAAATGCCTTCTTTAAATCTAAGAAGGCAACAGCATTGATCAATCCATGGTCTATATTAAGAGCCCAGCTATCAGTTGCCTCGAGTAGAGCTGTAACCATCGAGTGTAATGAACTGAAACCGGACTGATGTTTGGAAAGAAGATTATACTTTGTAAGATGGACGTACAGTTGATCATAGATTATCTGCTCAAAAACTTTTGCTACCACAGGAATTACTGAAATGGGGCGATAATTGGATGGATCATTGCGCTTGCCTGAATTTTTGTAGAGAGGGGAGACTCTAGCATTTTTCCAATCATTCAGAAATACACCTGTTTTAAATGATTGATTAAATATCAATGATAGCGACTTACAGATTAAATCGGGGCATTCCTTCAGGAGTTTGGCGGGGATATTATCGGGGCCAGTTGCTTTAGATCTGGAAAGTTTCAATAAAAGCGAATAAACATGTGCAGGGGTGGTTTCACAAAAGGAAAACAGCTTGTCAGTTTCGATTAGAAATTCGGAATAGCTAATGGCCCCCCTCTGCAACATCCTTACTAATGAATAAAGGCTGATAGTTTCGAAAGAAACTGTTTGGGGCTGCGTCGGTGGGGGTAACGAAATAATTTGGATATATCAACAAAGTTGAAATGGTAATTGGCCACCATAACGATTATAATCGTTACGGTGGCCAATTTACCATTTCAACTTTGTTGATAATTATATTCAAAACATCCTTACTAAGATTTGTACCAATTTCCGAGAAAAATGTATTGAAGATCTCCGCAGCTTCCAACAAGCTCTCCGATTTTTGGCCACAGTAGTCAACTTCATTTATAACTGTTTCTGTTTGATTTACGACAAGTTAGTTCATTAATAGTTTAATTGCCACGTTTTCCGAGTGTCACCAGAGAACTTATCAAAAGCATTGATATAATAATTTTGTTTTGCGGTCTTAATTTCCTTGTTAATTTGGTTCTTTAATGTCCGATAATAATTCCAATCGATCAGACTGTTACTTATGACAGCTTTCTTTTTTAAATGATCTCGATAATTCATTCTCTTTTTGAGCCTGGTGGTAATCCGAGAGGATTTGGAAGGGCACAAACATTTAGATTTTAACGGAGCGTGAGCATCACACACCCTTAGAAATAGCGCCTTCCATTTTAGCCACATTTCATTAGGTTCAAAAACTCCCTTGAGAATATCCCAGGGTTGACTCAATATGTCAGCTCTAAAATTCACACTCTCAAAGTGTTTAAACTGTCTATAATTTACCAGTTTAATTCCCTTGGAAGCTGGAGGAATTGAAACTTTCTGAGAGGCATAAACCAAACTGTGATCACTGATACCAGCATGAGATACACCTGAAAAGGAGACAAGATCCGTCTGATTGGTGAAAATTAAGTCTAGAAGGGAACTAGAAGAAGGTGTAACTCAAGTTGGTTCAGTGATCAGTTGCTTTAGGCCATATACATCCAAAATGTTCAGAAGAGCATTAACATTAGCATTATTCTCAGAAAGAACTTGTTGCAATTTATATCCCCCATGAGATAATGCTCGATATTTTCAGTATCTAATTTCCTTAAAAGTATATCAAGATGAGAGAAAAGAACCACTGAAGAGTTAGGGGGTCTATACCAAGTTATGATTACGAATGGCTTAGTACTAAATTTGCGAACTTCGATAGACAGTATTTTGAGACGGTCCATTGCCAGGTCCTCCCGCAAAAAATAATTAATATTGGATCTAATATAAAAGCAAATGCCACCGCCAGATCTGCCATTGGCTAATCTGTCATGGCGGACAATATTGTAGCCCTCTACTGTTACCTCATTATCACAAATACTGCCATCAAGTTTAGTTTCATTAATAGCTAAAATGTCAACGCACTGATTACTTAGAACAATACGAAGTTCATCAAATGTATTTAGTAAGGCTATTGATGCTTAAACACGCCATTTTAAAACAGCAGCCTTTTGGCACTATCATAGGATGAAGAATATCAGAGGCATTAATTATTAGGAGACAAGGTCAAATTTGCTTCAACTTCAGTTAATTAGTGTACAATACATCAATTAGTTTAACACATAGGAAACCTGTAGTTTTTCAAATGCAAACTTTCTACTTTATAATTGAATGCTAGTTAATGTTAAGACTGAGGGTCAAATTAATTCATTTAGTAAAGATTTTAACTGAATTGGTCATTAGAAAATATTTTTATAAAATTAATAAGAGGTGAAAAAGATGTTCTAAGCCTTTAAACTGAAACTTTTAATAAGTTCCATTAATTTTTAATATGTAATGTTGTGGTCCTTTAACTCAGCTGCACAAAGAGGATATAGTTGCTGGCAGTAAGAATGTAATTTTCTCTAAATCATCATTCATTATCAATAATGCTAGCCTTATAAACAAAACGTCCAAATGAAAATTGTTTAATATGCACAGTAGTTCTAGATTTATTCAGGGCTATCCAAAATGATTTTCTCCTTAAGATAAGAGGTCTGTAGAACATAGCATTTATGACTTTTTGATTTTAGATGGTACCTACTCATATTTGGGTCAGTCTCATCAAAGAAAGACTACAGAAAGAAGATTGCATCAGTAAGGTAATTAAAGGTGTTGTATTTATTTTGTACTCAATGAATTAATAAGTCAGAGTATAAGTTGAATCATTGAATAAAAGTTACAATCATGGTCACCGTGGTCTGTTGGTACATGTGTAAATGGTAGTCATCATTTTTGTCTTAACAAAGATTTGATTTTTCTCTTAATTTTTGTTTGAAAATGATAACTAGGAGAAAAAAAAATTTCTGTTGTTTGCTAAATCTCAAACCAAATCAAAGCTATGGAACATTGAATCAATTGGTGGAATCATAAGTTGATCCAATACCAAATTCTCCTAATTACTATCATTGGAATTGTATAACAGATAGAGAGGAGAATTAATTTTACTAATGAGATCTTGGCAGTACTGAAACAGAAAGGGTTAAAGGGATGAATTAAACTCAAGTCTACTTATAATATTTCTGTGTCTCAGGGTTGGTTGCTAGAGGCCTTTCCACAGACAAGGGAGCAGGTTTGTTGATAGTTTAAATAGGCTCTGTTACAGTATTTAGATTGATTTATGTAATGTGATGATTACAGCTCCAAGTGGCTGAGAGATTTGATAATAACCTTTACAGGTCTCTATGTGTAATAAGCATAGATTTGATGTCTTCCTTATCAATTGTCACTGTCACTAAAAAGTTATTAATTCATAAAGAAACAATTATACATAATATATATTTCAAACACAGTTTTCTCAGTTAAACAAAATTTCTGTGATGTACTTGTAGGCCCAAGCACTTCAGGCAGAGGGAATCAACCCAAGACATTTTGGTAAGTACCGACCACTGTCAAAGATTCACTAAGTACATATAACAATAAAAGTTGGTACTAACTGTATACTGGTCTTTCATGAAGAAGGAGGGCATGTTTTAATTATGCTTATACATGCTTATAATTCCAAGTAAAATGGATTTGATTTTTACAAAGCAGTCAATATTGGAAGGTCAAATAGTAAGATAAATGAATTAGGACACTAATTAAAAGTTGATAGAACAGTTGTAAAACAGCATTGATAATAATTTTTCTGTATTTATGCACAAAAAACTAAATTTGAAGTGATTTATTGGTAGTGCCAGTTAATTATCAATGTATTTATCTGTAATAGTTCTCCTGGAGGCCCCAGACACAGTCCTGATAGAAAGAGTGATGGGCAAGAGAATTGATCCAGAGACTGGTGGTGAGTACTTACAGCTATTCTAAATATACATTGTACTGTCTTTAAACCTTTTCACTTTCATCATATTTATTATGGAATCAATTTTTTCCTACTGCCTTCCATACATATTGCATTTCTTTACCTCTATAACATATTAATTTTGTAAAGAGATTACATTGGAGGGGTATCGGCTGGACAAAAGCAAAATAAATTTACCAAAAGGTTTTCCTGTTCTGTTTTTATTATTTTTATTATTTTTATTATTTTTGTTTTAAGACGTCTTAGATGCATTTTGAGAATAATTTTTTTAATTTTTTCTCAACAGATGTGTACCATTCAACATTTGACCCACCTACTGACCCAGCAGTTGTGCAACGTCTTGTACCAGACTCCAAATCCTCAGAGAAAGTCATGATTCAGAGACTGATGGAGTACCACAGGTAAATACTTCTTAAAGGCAAGCACACAGGTGGTACATGTAACTCAACAGAAAAATTCCCAATTTGTGGTGAATCCAATTTCAATTCAGTCTTGAGAGTAATCTGGGACTGGTTTAGTTTGCTCTGTGAATTGCCAACAAAGTTACTCCACCTTCTTAGCTAATCAGATGTCTAATGACCATCAGCTGTGTCTTGGTCCCTCACATTTCTCCGTGTATGATGCCAGTCGCATCACAGTACAGCTGTACTTGCTTTCAGCTGTCATTGGCTCATTGCCATGTTAACATTTGATCAGTTAGGTCATTAATTATTGTCAAAGGGACTCTATTTCACATGGTCTTGCTTTTTTTTTTAGGCATATTGACGGAATCTTGATGTGCTTTGAAAAGATTCATAAGTCCATAAACGTTGATCAACCTAAAGCAGACGTCTTCTCACAGGGTATACTTTATCAAATTTATTTTCGACTTCTTGTGGTAGATGTAGCTTAAGTGGAGGAGTGACTTGAATCAATGTTGTTAGTTTTGTTTCACAATCACATATCAACAAAGTTGTGAGGTCAGCTAGATTACAGCAAGTACGCTGTACATGTAACATTTTTACATTTGAGCATTTGCGGTTTTCTTTTTCAGTGAGGGATAGACGCACACCCATCTGACCAAATTATTATTTAGAAGTCTGGAGTAATGTTTAGTTTACTTCCTTTCTATAGCCATGCATCCTTTTGTGTACGAATTTAATTTGATTTTAACTTCGTACCCAAAATATGCGCTAAGAGTCTGTTTGACCACCCTTTTGTTATGGCCAGCTGGCCCAACCTTTTTATGAATATCTACTGCTCCAATGAGTTACATTTACCTGTTGTGCTTTTTCAGTGCTGTCCTATCTAAAGATGAATCATCGAAATAATGCCCCTCATACCCCGCGATTGATTCTCCTGGGCCCAACCGGGTGTGGCAAGAGTGTCCAGGCGGAACTGTTGGCCAGTAAATATGGCTTGGTTAACGGTAAGAGAACGATGAACAATTTAGTCAGTTATGCGACTGAAATGTACTCATGACAGGGTGCCAAATTGTGTTCTTAGAAGTAAACAAACATGCTGCATATAATTACGCGCGATCATTCGACCTCATCACCTGGCCAAGACTAGCATTTTAGAGTCAAAACGTGCGATCTTCAATTTATAGTGCGTCTGTATCGGGAGACAAACGATTAAACTTTCATTTATACTTTGAACTATGAAGAACAACAAACACATCTTTCTACCAAACGACTCGTATTCCGAACTGCCTTTGGCTTGAGATGTATCTGTAGGTAAAAGAGAAGCCCTGAATGAATATTGCGTAATCCCTGGCCAAGTCGTATTTAATAAAGCTTTGCATGGTTGTTTTCTACCCCTTTTTCGCGGACTCGAACATTAGGAAAGGAGAAGTTTGATGATTTTAGAGGTATGTAGATGTGAAAACTTCGAGTTTAGTGTGCTTGTTACAGTGGTAGATACATGTGATGTTGTTTCTCTGTTAGTTTCCTGCACAGAGCTGATCAAACAATCATTGGTGGATGATTCTAACGTTGGTGACGCAGTGCGGCCGTATACTGATCGGCACATGTTGGGTAGGTGCAAAGCTATAACGTTGTCACTTAAACAAGCATGTAAAGGTTGTTTCCAACAGAATGATATTTCCCATGGAACGAGCAAATCGTGCAGTTGCAGGAAAAAAAAAGGATAGAGTATAAATTTTGAAGTTTGAACGACCAAGAGAAGGGCTTGACACTAGCTGGGTAGCCCACTAGCCACAGACTAGTAGAAATTCAGTTTTGGCTAGTGGTTTTCGATTTCCACTAGCTAGCCAGTTTGGCTAGTAAACAAACTGAAATTGTTGTAATCATCTAAGTTGTCACTAGCCCCTAGGCTAGTAAGTTGAAAAGTTACTGTCGAGCCCTGCAAGAGTATTACTCCCAGGTTCCTCCTAATTAACACTTTTATCCCTTCACTCCCAAGATCTCATTTAGTAATTCTCCTTACTATCTGCCATACAATTCTTATGATGTTGGTGCAGAGAATTTGGTATTGGATCAACTGATAATCCCATGGTTGATATTTTTCTTTATTCTCATTACTTTTCTGCTTTATATCGGAGGAATATCGTGAGGAGAAATTCTGTCTTGATCACTCAGCAGTCAAAGGGTTGTGAAATGAAATCTGTCACCATGTGCGGCCATGTTATGTCTTTTAGATGCGTTCATACTTCGTTATTTTTGTGTGTGTGTGTGATTTTCTAACAGTACCCGATGATTTGGTTCTACAACTACTCAAGTATCGCCTGGCCCAGTTGGATGCTGTTACTAAAGGCTGGGTTATTCACGGCTTTCCTAAGACAAGAGAACAGGCGAGGGCACTGACCAGGGCTGGATATGAAGCAAATAGGTAATGAAAATACCAACCATCACGGAAACTTTGTATGATGTTAGGTTGTGATCGTATTGGGTGTTCCGGAAGAATTGGTCGGATTTGTTAGATTAGGTGGAATAGGAGGTTAGCTCATGTTGTAGAGATCTGGACTGCCATGCGGGAGGTCGAAGGTTCAAGCCCTAGACCGTAATAATTACTGATCCCCGTGAAATTCTATTGTTCTCTCTCTGCATTAAATCAACGATTGTAGTCTTTAAACACGAAGGCGCGCTATATAAGGGAGTCTTCCCTGGGAAGACCTAGGCTCATTTGTCACTCACCGTTGACGTGTGCGGGTTAAATTTAAATGCTGGTAGACGAACAAAAGTAGCTAACGAGATATCTATTGTTTACTTCCACCAGCATGGTGGCATGAGGTAACGTGCGAAACACCTACTTCGATCTCAAATTTACCACCACAAATAAAGACAGTTTCCATTTGAGAAAGGAAATACAAATCTCAAAAATTCTTGTATTTTGATGAAGACATAAAACAATTTTGAGTAATGCGCCCGCTGTTCACTGCTTCGGAGTAGCTGTAGCTCAAGCTGACTTGTCTCTAAGAGTTCTACATCACACGACGGTTGATTGACAAATGGTCCAGTGGGACCTAAGGCTCCTTTTATAGCGCGCCTTCGTGTTTAAGATGACAAAACAACTGTATGAGGAAAACGGAGGTGGTCCTTTTTGTTAGCAGAGAAGTTATCAGGGGTAATATAATTAAACGCGCTAAATAAGCATGCTGCAATATCAAAAATATTGCAGTGTGCAGGCTGCAATATTAAAAATATTGCAGTCTGCAGGTTACAATTATTAAAAATATTGCTTCTTCCACTCCTCAAAGACTTTCAAAACCCACGCCCATTTCCGGCGGCTGGCGTCTGAAACCCAACTTTTGTCAAATTTCCCGCATTCTGAAGCTGTAATTAGCGTTCTAAATCTTTGCTCTATTTAAAAAAAGAAAATGGAAACGCCGCCTTTAGAAGTCGATGAAGAATTGAAGCACTGTCAGAAATGTCCAAACGTTACACTACATTATTTTCGATTTCTGCTGAAATATTTGCCTTCGTAGAGCTCTATGTAATAAATAATCCTTCGTCTTCCGACGAATCCATCCTCT